CGACTGTTACAACCAGAGACTGAATTACAATAAACTACGACTGTTATAACCAGAGTCTGAATGAATTATAATAAACTACGACTGTTATAACCAGAGACTGAATTACAATAAACTACGACTGTTATAACCAGAGACTGAATTACAATAAACTACGACTGTTATAACCAGAGTCTGAATTACAATAAACTACGACTGTTATAACCAGAGTCTGAATTATAATCAACTACGACTGTTACAACCAGAGTCTGAATTACAATAAACAATGACTGTTATAACCAGAGTCTGAATTACAATAAACTACGACTGTTATAACCAGAGTCTGAATGAATTATAATAAACTACGACTGTTATAATCGGAGTCTGAATGAATTATAATAAACTACGACTGTTACAACCAGAGTCTGAATTATAATAAACTACAACTGTTATAACCAGAGTCTGAATGAATTATAATAAACTACAACTGTTATAACCAGAGTCTGAATGAATTATAATAAACTACGACTGTTACAACCAGAGTCTGAATTATAATAAACTACGACTGTTACAACCAGAGTCTGAATTATAATAAACTACGACTGTTACAACCAGAGTCTGAATTATAATAAACTATGACTGTTATAAATTAGTGTGAGTTATAATAAACTACTAGCCTGAACAATTCAGTACTGTAGTATACTCACCTAAATAATGATTTGGGAGTGAATCTCAAAATGATAATTTCTCCAGCATGTTCCTTGAAAAGAAAAACAGTCAACTACTGTAGCACCATTGTGTTTTTATTATTTAATAAATTGAACAATTCGTTTCCAGAATGTTTAAACAAAAACATAATTCACTGGTTAGTGCTATTTAGAAACCTTAGAGCTTACATAATTCGCTGGTTAGTGCTTCTTAGAAACCTTAGAGCTTATATAACTCACTGGTTAGTGCTACTTAGAAACCTTAGAGCTTACATAATTCAATGGTTAGTGCTACTTAGAAACCTTAGAGCTTACATAATTCACTGGTTAGTGCTACTTAGAAACCTTAGAGCTTCAAAATTCATGAGTAATTAGTGATATCAGGTTTTGGTATATAGATTATAAAGGGCTGCCCCCCTCTCAAAATAAAAATGTTGTTTAAAGACTAAAGTATACATCCTAAAACCAACAAACTGATGTGTTGTTGCATGTGCTATATAATTACTTCATGTAGCCAGCTCTACATGTTTGTCAAGTATTATTTTTTTCTTCATAAACATAAGTTTCTGGCTGTACTATATGAAAATTACTGCTAGTAGCTTGACACAGTTTATATAGTAACATGTAATCACAGATGTCAATCCTCTCAAAAATAAGACAGTAGGAGTGGCTTAATGAGTTTTCACTGCTCAAAAGACATGTTAGGGACAACTGGAGAAAATCAGGCATGTTATACTAAAGTTAGATTTTTCAAAGAAACCTACTTCTTTATTTTGTGTGTTCCCTAAGTAAGGTATAACTGTAGTATTTACATGTTTTTACTTTGATTAACATTATTGGTTAAACTATTTAATATATTAAATGTTGATACTCTTTTCTAAATTATACTTTTATTATATATTGTATTGCATCTTTAGCTTAATATATGTATTTAGGACTAGCCTAAATCTCCTAAGCTGGCCAAATCTTGTGAGATATTATTAGGCTTATGGACAAAAATATCATTAACATGAGGATACCCAATGAACTTTCAACATTGCAAGTCTGTAGAAAACAACCTCACAAACATGGTGGAACAAATAAGCATAGAGAGCTGTAGAAAACAACCTCACAAACATGGTGGAACACATAAGCCATAGAGAGCTGTAGAAAACAACCTCACAAACATGTTGGAACACATAAGCATAGAGAGCTGTAGAAAACAACCTCACAAACATGGTGGAACAAATAACCATAGAGAGCTGTAGAAAACAACCTCACAAACATGTTGAAACACATAAGCATAGAGACCTGTAGAAAACAACCTCATAAACATGGTGGAACAAATAAGCATAGAGAGCTGTAGAAAACAACCTCACAAACATGTTGGAACACATAAGCATAGAGAGCTGTAGAAAACAACCTCATAAACATGGTGGAACACATAAGCATAGAGAGCAGTAGAAAACAACCTCACAAACATGGTGGAACACATAAGCCATAGAGAGCTGTAGAAAACCTACAGACAGAAAAAAAAGGGCTAAACACACACTCTTAAACTGTAATAACAACTACAAGGAGAAAAACTTTGCTTTCAAACTAATTAACTTATAATAGCCAAATACCTATTAAAAATTAACATTCAAACAAGCTGTCCATAATCATAATTTCTAAGAGTAACTAGCATAAACTGTTCATTTACAAGTCACTCCAACTAATTTACTGTTTGTGAACTGTTTAATAACTTACTGGTATAATGTCTTGGTCGAGAATATTCTGGGTACAGCCACCATAAATGAGAACTTCATCAAAAGGACTAAGGACTGCCGAGTGCCACAACCTTGGTTTTTGAAATGGAAGTGCAACTTGTATCCATGTCAGTGAAGACAACTCCAACAGCCAGCAGTCACCTACACAAACACTACTTTAATAGTATATGCATTTTTGAAGAGGAAAAATTAGCTTTGTTTGATATTAAAAAAAGTAACTAAATCAAGAGTAAAATTTTTTAATATACAGTAGTTTAATTCCTGCTGAAAAATAATGAATACTGTATTAAACATTTATAATTTTTGTAACTTTTACTTGGTCGCAGGATGAAAAGATTGCAAGTTTATTACATTTAAACTAAAAAACACCATTAAAGCCTTAGCAGCAAAAATGATAAAAATCTAAAATACACAAGCCACACACCAGAAAAATATTAATACACATATGTGGTATAACTGAAATAATAAAGAAACAGAAGAAAAATCATAACAATTCCAAAGGAAAAATAAAACTAAACAATTAAAAACATTAATAAGCTTAAGGACAACTGGTATAAAAAATAGGTTATTTAATCCTACTGCTTATACAAAACTATGTGTACACTATTATTACGTATTTATCATCATTTAGTTTATACATACTCTCTGTTTGCAGCGCTGGGTTCTATATTTTATGTTTTTAATAGGCTGGGATGTAATTTATACATTTGATTCAAACTTGCTCAAAATCTGAGAAAGAAGAAGTAAAATAAGCTCTTAAAAGAAAAGGGAGGGTATATAGCTTACAAATAACAATCACTACTCAGCCTTGAACACATAGATACAACACCTATATTCAGTTCTACTGCAGCAGCTTCAATTAATTGTTTTCAACTGCTACATCAGCTGCATCAACCTGGTAAGTATCTAAAAATGTTTTTGAAGTTGAGTTCAACCTACATTCTTATCTCCAAGATATTTCATGATAGTTTACTAAAACAAGAACATTGTTGTTGCTTCTTTAAGTAGGTTTATATCTGATGAATAAATTACTAATGTTGAAGCTAGTGTGGTTTATATGTGATGAATAAATTGATAATGTTGAAGCTAGTGTGGTTTATATCTGATGAATAAATTACTAATGTTGAAGCTAGTGTGGTTTATATCTGATTAATAAATAACTAATGTTGAAGCTAGTGAAGTTTATATCTGATTAATAAATAACTAATATTGAAGCTGGTGTGGTTTATACCTGATGAATAAATAACTAATATTGAAGCTGATGTGGTTTATACCTGATGAATAAATAACTAATATTGAAGCTAGTGTGGTTTATATCTGATGAATAAATAACTAATATTGAAGCTGGTGTGGTTTATATCTGATTAATAAATAACTAATATTGAAGCTGGTGTGGTTTATATCTGATGGATAAATAACTAATATTGAACCTGATGTGGTTTATACCTGATGAATAAATAACAAATATTGAAGCTAGTGTGGTTTATATCTGATGAATAAATAACTAATATTGAAGCTGGTGTGGTTTACACCTGATGAATAAATAACTAATATTGAAGCTGGTGTGGTTTATATCTACATATGGTTAATTTTAAAGAATAAACACCAATTGTATATTACTAAACATGTACATAGAAACTGCTACAGTACATAGAAACATCAGGGGTGATGAAAGAAAGCTTTAAGAAACATAAGGTACACATTTAAGTAACAGTCTTCAGATAAATTCAGGTTTCAATAATGTATTTGTTTGTATCACGTGTAACGAGATGTGAAACAAATTTTGGGAATGTCCAACTAATACTAATTTGCAGACATGGGGTATTCATATTGAAAGGCATGCGAATACAGCTTTGGGAGTATTCATACTTGTATTTGAATACTTTGGTAGGGAAAATTAAAGTATTAGTATTCACTGAATGATTTAGTGAATACTTAACATCTTAAAAGTAAATGTTAACTTTTGTACTCCTCAAATTTCTAGACTGTCATTATTACATCCATAGTACATTAAATCAGATCAGTACTCTCCAACCACCTTAAAAGTTATTATATCACATGGTTATTAATCCATTCGAGTGACATGAGATGGCTACTAAACTGCCTTCAGTGGTTCAAGAATACTTCATACTTCCTACTGATAGATCTGGTCACATTAAGGCAAAATATAAATATTGTGAGCAGGTGATTTCTACTTCAGGAAAAAACAATTCTAACCTGCTGAAACATCTGAAGGTAAGCCTTTTTATAATTTCTGTTAATATGAGCTATATTCTATGTAACTTATACAGTATAATAGAGATAAACTAAATTTATCATGCGTGTTATATTATATTGTTTATTATTTTCATTTACTTAGTATTATACGATTTTATTATTTTTATTATAAATTATATTCTTTATTATGTAACTTAGATATGCTTTTGTATTTCTAGCACAACCACGAGGCAGAGCTACAGAAGTCTACATCTGGCTCTGGTACTTCTGCCCAGGTTCAGCAGTGTATTGTACACAATCAACTAAATATAAGTCTACACACCATCGTCAGAAGCATATCACTAACAAACTCGTCAATTTTATTGCCGGCACACTGCAACCCATCACATTGGTGGAGTCAAAAGATTTTAAAAGATCTAATGGCAGACATGGATTCTCAGCATATTCTTTCCAGTCTCAAGCATCTGCCACAACATTAATCGAGAGCAGGTTTAATGAAGTTGAACAAAAAAGTCATCTCTCTATTGCAACTTCTACCCAACATCAATGTCACCCTGTATACCTGGAGTAGCAAACAAATGTGCAGCTTTCTTGAAGTCACTGTTCATTTTATACTTGACTGGAAAATAAAGAGTCATGCTGGCATGTCGGCATTTCAAGGAGCATCACACATCTGATAACATTGCAGCTCAACATGACGAAATTATAAGTCTCTTTAACATCAACAATAAGGTGTCATATGTGGCATCAGATAATGCATCCAACATGATCTAGCTTTCTGCCTGCCTGAATTTGAACCACAAACACTACTTAGTGATGAGATGGTGATAGCTCATCTACAGAGAGTGACTCAGTAGATGAACTTTTGGATGAATCTAAATCAGCAGACAATTTATATGAATTTCTTCCTGAACATGACCCCTGCTTTTCCCACATGCTAAATCTTGTGGTCAGGGATGACATGAAAGAAACTTGGCCACTGCTGAAGTAATTTCCAAAGCATCAGCCATCGTGTCCTACATTCAAAAATCAAAGCAAGCAGCTGATCTACTTGAGGGAGAGGCCAGAGTTCAGTCAATAACACCAACACTGGAACTCAAAAATTAAAATGATTAAGTCTTTACTGAAGGTTCCCCAGGAGAAGTTGGATTATCTAGATACTGGTACATCGAAACTTACTTTTCATGATCGTGCTTACAGATTTAGTAACAATACTAACACCTTTAGAAGAAACAACAGATTTCACTCAGGGTCAGGTATGTAGTGCCATGTGTTTATAGGTTGATGACTGAAACTGACAGCATTGAGTACAGGTATAATTTCAATCTTGTCTCTGTACTGAAGAAATCCTGTCACACCTAGCTTAGTCAGAAGAAACAATGAAGTGTCTTCTGGTTGGCTGCAGCATTAGTTCCCAGATTTCAACTTGACTGGTGTTTCACTAGACCTGTGATCTATGAATTCAATCAAATTCTCCTGCAGCAAGAAGTCAAGAAATTTTCCTCAACAAATAATCCTACAACCATGGAACCAAAAGAGAACTGTAAATCCCCCCTCACAAAATAATTAAGCTCATTAGTTTCTTTGCTACCTCCAATAAACTAGCCACCTCATCTTCAGAGGATGCATAGATCAACACCTACTTCAATAGTACTTGCATTCTTGAAGAAAGCAACCCTATAGATTATTGGAAGACCCATAGAAAAAAAAAAAAAAAAAAACTTTCCTACCTATCTCTACCAGCCAAACATAACCTGACTGTTCCAGCATCCTCTTCCCCCATTGAGCATTTTGTTTTGCATAAGAGGCAAAACCCTTAGACATGATCACTGCCACATCATTGACAAGACATTTAAGAAACTGATGTTCATAAAGAGCAATGGACAGTCATAATATCTACAAGCCTCTTTTAGAAATATATTTTGTTCTAAAATTTTGTTACTGCAGCTTGAAAAATAAGTATTGAAATCTTATCGTTTGCTGTTTTATCATTATTGCATACTACCAGACAAAGTATTCTTGAACATATTCATAAATACATTCCTATGTATTCATATTCAAATACTAAGCATTTTTCCTGTATTTGTATCGTATTCATAAAAATATGAAGTATTTGATTACTGATCTCCAGTAGTTCCCCAATCCCTGCTATCTGAAAGTATCACACAATATCCAAACTTTTAAAAGAAGGATTTGTGTCAGGCTTGAGATTCACTCATCCAGTAGATATGTCTCGGGTTTTTGAACCCACATATACCAAAGATAGAGGAACTTTGCAAGTAAAGTTTTATATACCATGATGTACTTGAAAAACAAATGACAATAAAACTTTTAAAATTTGGTCTGATCATTTTGAAGTTAAGCACTACAATGATAATGTGGCATAATGTTTGGGGACAACAAGGGACTTACTGGTTCAACTAGGCTGTCCCATCCAAACTAAACTGAAACTATTGAATAAAAAAAAAGAAACACCCTCAAAGCTAGCCCTTATCATTCATATAGTTATCAAGCTTTATCTTAAACTCATTAAATTTACTGCCTCCACAATATCTGAAGACAACCCATTCCAAAGGCCAACCACCCTGTTAGAAAAAAAAAAAAAGACTCCTACTCTGCTAAAATTTATATTTGTGTCCCCTAGTCCTACTATTCTCACTGTTAAGTATGAAAAAAGATGATGCACCAACACTATCAATTCCCTTTACAATCTTAAACACCTCAATGAGATCCCTCCCCCCATCTCTTCTTTTTTTCAAAATAAAACAATTTCAGAGATCTTAACCTCTCCATCCCAGGCA